GGGGTCCGGAGCAGCAGACCTCATTTTAGACTCTTCGCCTGAGGTTGTGCGAAGCTCCGGTGTTATCCCTTCCAGAGGGAATGGAGGATTTTATGGTGTACTGCGACGCATCGATATCGGGGTTGGGTGCGGTGCTTATGCAGAGAGGGCATGTGATAGCGTATGCATCGAGGCAGCTGAAGCCTCATGAGACAAGGTATCCCACCCACGATCTGGAGTTGGGTAGTGGTGTTCGCCCTCAAGATCTAGTGTCATTATTTGTATGGGGGTTCGGTGTACCATATACACGGACCACAAGAGTTTGAAGTACCTGATGGATCAGCCCAACCTGAATATGCGCCAGAGGAGATGGTTGGATGTGGTAAAGGATTACGATTGTGAGATCCTGTACCACCCGGGCAAAGCTAATGTTGTAGTTGATGCTTTGAGCCGTAGGGCAGGGAGTGCCCCGATTTGAGACATTTGTATGCGATTGACGGTGATGACTCCGATGTTGGACACCATTCGGGAGGCCCAGGCAGAGGCCGTGATGCCAGAGAACCGCAAAAGGGAGCGGGTAATCGGGCAGGTGTCCGAGTTCGTTACCGATAGCCGAGGGCTGATGACCTTTTAAGGTCGGATTTCGGTGCCGTATGCACGCGGGGCACGTACCATTCTGATGGAGGATGCGCACAGATCGAGGTTCTCGATCCATCCCGGGGCCACTAAGATGTATTTGGACCTGAAGAGAGAGTATTGGTGGCCCTGTATGAAGAGGGATGTCGCGTGGTTTGTTGAGAGGTGCTTGACCTGTCGTAGGGTTAAGGCCGAGCACCAGCGTCCGTATGGCAAGTTACAGCCACTTGAGGTTCCCCAGTGGAAGTGGGAACATATTTCTATGGATTTTATCACCAAATTGCCGAGGACCGCGAGGGGCGTCGATGCAATTTGGGTGATAGTCGACCGGCTGACGAAGAGCGCTCACTTCCTTGCTATCAGTGAGAGCTCTTCCGCAGAGAGGCTGGCCGAGTTGTATGTGAGAGAGGTGGTATCGCGTCATGGAGTACCGATCTCGATTGTATCAGATCGAGATGTACGTTTCACTTCCAGGTTCTGGAAGAAGTTTCGTGAGGAGTTGGGTACGAGGTTGCACTTCAGTACCGCCTACCACCCACAGACGGACGGGCAGAGTGAGCGGACGATCCAGACGCTCGAGGACATGCTTCGAGCATGTGTGCTGGACTTCGGAGGAAGTTGGGACACGTACTTGCCGTTGGCTGAGTTTTCCTATAACAACAGCCACCATTCGAGTATTGGTATGCCTCCCTTCGAGTTGTTGTATGGGAGGAGGTGTCGGACTCCCATTTGCTGGGGAGAGGTAGGGCAGCGCGTGATGGGTAGCACTGAGATAGTGCTTCAAACGACTGAGCAGATACAGCAGGTCAGGCAGAGGTTGTTGACAGCTCAGAGTCGCCAGAAGAGTTATGCGGATAGGCGACGATCCGAGCTTGAGTTTCAGGTGGGAGACTTCGTACTCATGAAGGTGTCTCCTTGGAAAGGAGTGATCCGATTCAGGAAGAGGGGAAAGCTGGGGCCCCGGTACATCAGTCCGTTCAGAGTGACCGCGAGGGTGGGCAGGGTAGCGTATCGTTTGGAGCTACCTGCGGAGTTGAGCCAGATTCATGATACCTTCCACGTGTCTCGGTTGAGGAAGTGTATAGCCGACGAGTAGGCGGTGGTGCCGCTGGATGATATTCAGGTGGATGCGAGATTGAATTATGTTGAGAGACCGATCGCGATCTTGGATCGGAAGATCAAGGTTCAGAGGAACAAGGAGGTGCCCTTGGTTCAGGTCCAGTGGCAGCATAGGAGAGGGTCCGAGCTGACTTGGGAGTCGGAGTTAGAGATGCGGGAGCAGCATCCAGAGTTGTTTACCGAGCGACACTTCGAGGGCGAAGTCTAATTCTAGTGGGGGAGAATTGTAACATCCGGATTCCCAGGTATTCTATGATGTTCATTTATTTTGAGTTTTGAGGAGGGACTCGACGAGTCGACGCCTGGACTCGTCGAGTAGGATCGCGATTTGCTAACTGGATTAATGAAGGGACTCGACGAGTCGATGGGTGGACTCGACGAGTCCGCGCTGTGGACAGAAACCCTAAATCTGCGGGCCTGAGCCCTATTTAAAGGACCTTATAACCCTCATTTGCGGCTACCAGTCCAGAGAGAGAAACCCTAGAGAGCTTGAACGAGTTGTATGAGAGAGGAAGCCATTTTAACCCCTTTTGGTGTTGTTTTGCAAAGAAGAAGGTGTTTCCAGCAATAGGAGGTCAAGGGGATTGCTATTCTGTGGATTTCCAGCTTGGATCTGCAATTTTGAGGTAGTAAATCGACCCCATTCTCTGTTTCGTTTAAGATCCTTGAATGTTAGGGTTTTCTATACCCTTTATTGGCTTGAAATGTTGAGTATGATGTCCCTTTGAGTGTTAGACTCTGGATCTGGACCTCTAGAGGTCTAGAGGACCTTATCCATCCTGCTTTATGTTGGTTCATGGAGGGAATGAGACTATGTTGCCATTTTAGTAGTTATTTCACCAAAATAAGCCTTGGGTACGTTGCATATGAACCAAGATTCGACCTTTACGTGATTATCGGGGTTGGGAAGGTCAGATCTATAGGTTAGAGAAGCAGATCTGACCTCAGAAGGTCATTTGAGTATTGCCATTGAAGTAACTCGCCGAGTGCATGAGTGGACTCGACGAGTCGAGTCGGGGTTGCCCCGCGATTCGTGACAGGCGTAACTCGCAGAGTGAAGGGATGACTCGACGTGCCAAGTGAGGCTGGAAGGATTCAGAGGATCCGTATGGACTCGCCGAGTCACCTGTGTGCACTCGACGAGTCTGGTCAAAGTCTGACCGTTGACTAGAGTTGACTTCGTTGACTTTTAAGGTTGAGTCAATGTTTGGACTTGTGAGCCATTGGAGGGGTAGAATGGTCTTTTACCCTTCTTAGAGAACTTAGAGAGGGATTAGCCTAGTCTTTGAAAGTCGTATTAATTAGAGTAATTATTTTATTTGATTAGGCAAAGGCTAGATCAGTATTTCCGAGTTCGAGATTTACCGAGTTATCTGAGGTGAGTCTTCTCACTATACTTTACCTTGAGTGGTAAGTAGAGTTATGTGACAGAGTATCTTGTATGCTATGTATGTGATGTGTTGCACTGCATTATTTTTATGTGATTTATGCTGTGTGTATTCCCGAGTTTACAGAGTAAAGACCGGCAGGTCCACAGAGTTAAGACCAGAGGGTCCACAGAGTTAGGGCCAGTGGGCCCACATAGTTATAGCCTCGAGTGGCTAATATGTGTTATATGTGGTATTTTGGGGAACTCACTAAGCATTTATGCTTATAGTGTTTTGTGTTATGTGTTTCAGGTACCAGTGAGGATCGCGGGAAGGCGCCGGCATGATCAGTACACACTTGTGGAGTTTTTATGTATTGTGATCTTGGGATGAATTTTATGGATTTGATATGTGATACATTGAGATTGATAATAATTATGAATGAAATTATATTTTTAAAAGTGAAAAATTGTTTTGGAATTTACGACGTTACAAATTATTGTCAATTTGTTTGAAGTTTAAATGAAAATCTATGTTTACCAAGTCTATTATTGTCAATTTGTTTTAAGTTTAAAGGTAATTTCCTTATGACCAAGGGTATAGTTATCAACACGAGCACATACTCTACAAATTTTAATTTCTTTCATGAATCTTATATTCTTATTTATGCAGATTATCATTCCAATTATACCGTCAATCATAAACACTTTCCAAAAATAATTATATGTATATTTATCATGTTTCAATATATAGAATGCAACCATTTATGATTAAATCGTTTAATAAGTAAATATTATCTTTAAATCTTTTCAAAATCATGTACACTTATCAATTTAGAAACAATCATTTAATTTAATCTTATTAAAAAGGATTTAATTCATCTATTTTTGATGTATATTTTTATTTAATATAAAATCACGACACATGTTTCCCAATTATATCTCTATATTTGTTAACCAATTTTAATTCGTTGTTATCTTCACCAATATTCTTTAATTTCATTCTTTGTATAATCATGAGGAGTGTTATAGATGCTTCAACAACTCTATTTGCTAGAGGTGTTGGCAAAATTGTTATTTCCATATGTTCAGCAAATGGACATTGTTTACTTTTGATTTATTACCATATCACATTACACAAACATCACAATTGCAGATGCGTTCATTAAAATTAATAAAATAAGTTTTTTTAGACTGTTATACTAAATATTTTAAATTAATATATACTTTTATTTTAATATTTGATATATGTTATGTATGTTAGGACATTTAATATAATTATGCCCTATAGAACATAATATAATTTTAAGATCCATTTATAGGTTAAAATCTGTGTAATACACATGTTGATAACATAAATGAGCAAAAATAACAACCTACTTTGAAAGTATGTTGCTATAAATAACAGAAATCGTTCATGTTACTATTTTTTGTTAATAATTTTTTTTTATAGTTTTTAGAACCGAATAAAATTATATATTTCGGGACATAACCCTAAAATAACAATCGAAATTATATAGGTTTTGTTCATAACCCTAAAATAACAAAGTATACTTCGAAATTTAAAAAAAAAACAAATAATATTTAAATAATAAATTCCAAAGACGTTTGTATGTTTTTTATGCGTTCCTCCGCGTTTAACGCGGGTTATAATCTAGTGTAAATGTATAACGTTTACATCTTATAATATTTCCTTCGCGATTGTTTTCATATTTTGATTTTAGTATTGCAATCATTATATAACGTTTACATCTTATAGCTTTCACTAGTGTTTTCTTACTCGGGATCAAAAAGATTAGTCAAGAATATAGAGGGTAGAAAGTAACATTTGTCATAATATTTGTAATCAACCCAGAAAGACATTTAAACAATTCTTAAATTTAACTAACAAAGTCAAAATTTAGCGTTCAATAATGATATCCACTGCTGGTGATGCACGTGGAAATGTTAATCGTAGCAAATCTCGAAGCATCTTCACTTCTTTGTCAACAGAAACAGATTTACTGAGCTCTATTCGTGCTTTCTTAAGCACAGGTGACTTAGCCATGATGAGTTTCAGAAACTCCATCTCTGGATCATAGTTACTGAAATTTGATATCTCCAATTCTTCAAGATGATCCAAATTGATGCCCAAATAGTCTTGAAGATCAAGCAAGTCCTTGCAAGTTTCTTCACCACAGAGCTTATGGTTCATACACAGCTGATCAGGAAACATGTACAAAATGTCAACAGATTTGAAGATCTATTGTTTTCGAAGTATGTGATTGCGTGTAGTTTATATCTACCTCTATTTTTATCTTCTCCAGATTTGGGGAGCTGCTGATCACACTGAGAGCATATGAAAGCCCATCTTCTTTCTGAAAACACACATCAAAACAAAGTATCCTCAAGTGGACTAGTGAAGTGAGGAGTTTCTTCATATCATCTGCAGTAACGTGTTGCTGCATCAACCAAATACCAAAACTAGAATTAAAACACAATATTCTAGCATGAGATAAAACCATGAGTAAAATACACGAATGGTCCTATGATTTAATTACGAGTTTTCTTTAATGATAAAAACATAAATAACAATTAAAAGATTAAAAAGAATTACTAGGAAGGGCAAAATAGTCTTTTTAAGAGTGGCATGGACCAAAGAAGCAAAAAAACACAAACCATAGCGACCTTCCGAGTTACAAAGGGACCAAACACGCAAACTACCACAAACCACATGGACCATTCGTGTAATTTACTCTAAAACTATCAAGTTGAGTATTTATTACCTTGATATAAGACTTAAGAGATTTTCAGAATCTGAACCAAAGGTAAACGCTCTGATAGCTCAAGAAATGTACACTTGTCTCCTTGTGTAGTAGAGTCGTTTTGACATCCCATCTGCATCAATATACCTTTGTAAGAAGGTTTTAACTGAAGGTGCTTTCATAAGTGATTATATGGAACTTACCAGTATAAATTCCTCGAGTATTGGACAATTTGTAAGTAATTGTTGAAGCGTCTTCACAGTGATGTTGACATTGCATAACTCGAGACTCCTCAAGGTAATGAATCCATCAAATGTTAATGGAAGCTCAATGACACAATGTGCCAGATGTAGTTGTTCTAGTCCTTGCAATGAAAAGAACACAGAGGGTAGCTTGTAGCGCTTAACATATTGTAATCTGAAGTCGTACTTTGACCAAAACTTAAAGATGAATTTCTTGATATTTTTGCTCTTTGAAAGATGAAATATTATCTGGTCAATCTCATCAACAATTTTTGTATCGGTGTTAATAGAGATACTGAATTCTAATAGCGGACCATTGTGTAGCAACAAAACATGGAAGATGGCATTGACAAACTTATATTTCTTGATTAGCTTGTTAATTTCTTTGCTACTTGATGAGGTATATGAGAATGGAATATCATATACAAGTTTACGCATGCCCTTCAAGTACTTGTCATCAAATACAAGTTTAGGCATTCACTTCCAACAATGCCTCCATTTCCTTGACAATATGCTTGTTCTCAATGCATCTCTGACTGGCATATGAGTAAGAATGTTTTCAATTGTGTCTTGAGGAAGAGCGCTAATTCTATCCGAACTTTTGCATTGAACTTTCGCCATTTCCTCCATGTCTCACACTCCGCAAGGCTGCAAAGTAGAACTTTTATTAAAAAAATTATATATTTAATTGCATAACATTAAATAAAAAAGGGAGTTTTAATTGCATAACATATATATTAACATTCATTCCCAATATTAGCCAATATCCATACATATCTATCGCAACATCAAATAGTTTTAATTGCATAACATTCATTCCCGATATCTATTGCAACATCAAAGAGAAATATAAATCCTTGCATCAAACAAATTGGAATTGGTTGCTTCAAAAAAGCAACATGTGAGGATTATGGAAAAGTCAGAAGAGTTTTGATATCTAAGATACACTACATAATTTCCACAAGTAAGTTGTTAGAATCGCAACTCATGCATTATACAATTGCCTAATATATGATATGATAATAGCTAAGACAACTATAACTTCAGCAAAATTGAAAATGTTTGAGTTTTTTTAAAAGAATATCAAATAAATAGTGCGACCCCTAAATAAAAACAAATTATTATAACACAAATAAACCACCCTAAGAATGGTGACAGTCTACAGCAAAGTAGAAGGAAAAAAGAGGAGGTGCATACAGAAGAAAATAGGAGTAGACTACCGCCTGTGGCTGCTCCCTCGCCCACCGTGGCAGTGCCCTCCCCAATCTCACCGTCGTCTAAGCTTCGTCTCGCTGTCTCCCTCCGCCTGTTGCCGTCGCAATAACCTAAATATTCTAAAAATGCCCGCCCAAGGTTTTTAACTAAACTCGTCGAATATTTTGAACACAATCCAACCCATTTAAAAGAGTTAGAATTTCGGGTTGACCCTTTAAAAAAAAAAAAAAAAAACCCTTATATTTAATAGAACGGTGGATCATATGGTGTGTTACTTGCTGGTGACAAAACATAGCGGGAAACTCTATAAAAAACTTTTATATTTTGACCTTATTCGATTGATTTTTTTTTATTCAATTAAGTCTTAAAAATAAAAATAGTCATTTGTATTCATTTTAACTTTTTATTATCACCTTCAAAATTTATACTTTTCGCCAACAATTTAAATTTTATTATAAATTTCATACTAAATTTATATTTTTGGCTTAAATTTTAAAATTTTGTTACAAACTCATCTTAAATTTAATTTTTTTACATATTTTCATATAAAAACCTTCTTTTTTTAGAAAAAACTTTTTTTTAAAACCATTTCTATATTCGAAATACCTATTTATAAAAATATTTTTTACTTTAGTTACATATTTATAAAACCATATTTATGTAAAAATGTGTATAAAAATATATAAATATATACAAATATATACAAACACACACACAGACACACACACACACACACACATATATATATATATATATATATATATATATATATATATATATATATATATATATATATATATAAACATATTTTATAATAATTACATTTGTATACAAACATGTTTTTATAAAAAAAAATGTATGCAAACACATAGTTTATAAAAATATATACAAATGCATTTTTATAAAAAATATGTATACAAACACATGTTTGTATACAAATTCATTTATTATAAAATACGTGGTTGTAAACACTTTTTATAAAACATATTTTTTAATATAAAATAGGTATTTATTAAGTACATAAAAAATATTTTGTATACATGTAAACACATAAATATACACAAATCCGTTTGTATAAAAAATATACAAACACATATTTTATAAAAAAAATGTATACAAACACCTATTTTATAATAAATGCATTTGTGGACAAACACGTTTTTATAAATAATAATAATAATAATAATAATAATAATAACATACAAACACCTATTTTATAATAAATACATTTGCATACAAACATGTTTTTGTAAAAAAATAATACAAACACATATTTTATAAAAATATATACAAACACATTTTTGTAAATAAAAAAATATATACAAACACTTATTTCATAGTAAACGTATTTGTAGATATTTATGTATTTATGTGCACACAAATAGGTATTTGTATATATATTTTTTATAAAAACTTATTTATATAACTACATTTTTATAAATATGTATTTAAAATAAAAAAATATTTTTATAAATAGGTATTTTGCAAACAAAAATTGTAACACCCTGTTTCGAATCGTTTCATAATTCAGGGCCGTGACCCGAAGACCAGTTATTATCAGGCTCCGGGCGTTGGGGGAAAGAGAGATTTAGACCCTTTTAGATGTGGGTAATGTAGATTAGGTGATCCGAGAGTTCGATTGGTGCTTTGGAGCCCAAAGGTATAACCGTAAAGTGATAGTTCGGGCCTTTTATGAATTTTGGATTTAAGTTTGGAAAGTTTTAAAGGAAAGGAGAGTTGATATGGTTGTAGAGAATCTCATTTCCTTTCCGTGGATATAAGGATCGTCGAAATCAGAGTTGAAACGAAGAAGTTACGACCGTTTGAATTTAGGACGATTTTTGGGTTAGTCGTGTACGATGGGCGTACTAGGGCATCCCTAGTATGATGGGCGTACATTGAGTACATTGGGCGTACATGATTAGTGCCAAACCCTATTTTTGTGGTTTGAGCCCTATTTAAGCTCCTTACCTTCCCCAAACTCATTCCATTATCAGCCTCCACCTCTCCAACACCCCTCCCTTGAAACCCTAACCCTACTTTGAGCCTTGTGAGCAAAAAGAAGGTGTTTTTAAGTGATTTGGAGTGTTCTTGATGCAGCGTGAATAAGAAGGACTCATTGAAGAAGCGTTGGTTGCATTAGAGCTTGTAGATCCAGACCATATTCACCTTGATCTTTCTTCTGGAGGTTTAAAGTTTGAATCTTGATGATGAAATTGTTAGATCTAGCTAGTTTTTGGTGTTATGACCTTTTAGTCACTTTAGTGCATAAAGCTTAGATCTTGAAAGCTTGTGACCTTGTTATGGATAAAGTTGGAAACTTTATCTATCTAAACATCATATTGATTCAGATCTAAAAGCTTGAGACTTGGACTTAATGGATTAAGTTGGAAAAGACGCATTTTTGGTCCCTTTCAGACTTATAGAGTAGATCTTGGTTGGTTGGACCATTCTAATGGATAAAGTCGGAAACTTTATCCATTATGGAGTTATTAGAAACCATAAAAATATCATATTGATGGGTTTTGATGAATCATGCTTAAGTTGATGTTCATATTAGAAGTTTAGATGGATAAAAACGGGTTTTGGGTCCCATTAAGACATGCAAAGGAATAAAGTTGGCAACTTTATGGATTAAGACATTATTTGGAGGTTAGATTTGAGTTTGGACATTTTGGTCTTAAGCATTAAGTGCTTAATATGAAGTTTTGGTCATCTGATGAGTATGTTCGGCGTACGTATGCGTACACTCAACGTATGTAACACCCATAAAATTCAAGTCAATTTAAAACTTTTCAAAACATTTAAAACCAACAGTTATTACATATTTGTTTTCAAAATAGTCCATATCAGAGTTTTCCCAGAAACATAAACAAAACATGAGGAGCCGTGCGATCATGCCTTCGCCTTGCCGCGATCCCCTGATGTACCTGAAACAATGAACTAAAACTGTAAGCCTGATAGCTTAGTGAGTTCCCCCAAAATACCGATACACTACACATAACACATATACAATAACATCATATACTGGGTCCACAACTTTACAGACTGGATTACCCCCTGGGCCCCACAATGTGAGTCTGGATTGCCTTCCAGGCCCAGAGCTCACATCTGGATTGCCGCTGAGCCCACAGTACGAGTCTCCCTCAGCGCGTATCTGGAATGCTCCCATGTTTGTTGGTTACCGCACGGAGCAATATCACCACAACCCATCTCTCACATAATATGTCGATATATAACACAACTAATGCACATACAGATTGTGACAACCCGAAACTTTTTTCCGTTTCCGTTATCCGAACTCCGTTAATAAATTTTGAATTTTATTAAGTTCCCGTCAAACTTCGTGGTTTAGAAAATCATATAGTTTATATAATTTAATTTTTATATGAGTCGGGACCAAAACTTCATGAGATTTCGAGTTATCCGTTCGATCGAAACATCGGTTTTCGGCCGGACTGAGTTTATGGTCGTAAACCCGTGTACGGCCGTACACTCGTTTACGGCCAGAGTTAGGTGGACCCCACCACTGACCACCAAAAAGCCCTATAAATAGGAGGCCCTACCCCTCATTTACACTTTTTTGGCCGAACACCCACTCCTTCTCTCTCTAAACTCGTGACCGCACACCCCTAAAACACCCTTATTCTTCCGGAAAACATCGAAAAACACCATTGGGTGTCATTTCGGAGCACCTAGAACATGTTTTTCATCAATTTCAACATCTTTGTTCTTGAGTGTACGACCGTACACCCTCCAAGTCTTCAAATCTTCATCGACCGTACATCAGTCTACGGCCGTACACACTTCAAACCTTCAAAGGCCGTACACCATTCAAGAGACTGTCTACGGTCGTACACCTGTATACGGCCGTACACCCCATTTACGGTCGTACACACACTTCCTAAGTGGTGCTTTAGACTGAAAAATCATTTTCCTCGATTCAAGCAAGTCCCGGTAACATTCCTTAACCGAAGCAAGTGTTTATGTAACACTTTATCTAACGAAATCGCTAATTTAGATACATTATGTATTTAATTGTTATTAGGATTCCGTTAAGTGCCACACTACAACTCGAGGGTCTTCATTTCAGTCCGTTGATTCGACGCTTGTACGCGACTAATAGTGAGTTCATACCCTTATGTCTTTACTGTTTTTAACGTTTTCAGGGGGGGAATACAAGCCAAACATAAATGATTTTGTGAAACTTATACAAACGGATTTCAATAAACTTAAAACGAACGAAATTGATACAATCATAC